AGAGGAAGAGACTAAAGCAGAGGAAGGAGAAGAAGAGACTCAAGCAGAGAGGAAGAGACTAAAGCAGAGGAAGAGACTAAAGCAGAGGAAGATAGAGGTGAGATGCTGACGGAGCGCTGACATTGATCCTGAGAGTAAAAACCAGAGATGAATCTTCTTTCATGTGGCAGATGCTCACACAGACCAGACAGAGACGGTGAACACAGCCGCCATCTTGATCCCTTTTTATTGTTCAGTGGGCGTCTGAGAGAAGTGGAATTTAATGAGAGAGGAGGACACACACACACACACACACACACACACACACACAGGTGAAGCAGGACTGATACGAGCTGTGTGTAGGTTTCACCCTCATCTGTGAAACCACATTTACTAACAAGAAGGTTTTTTAAACAGGAAACTGGTTCACGAGGTTTAACTTTCAAATATTCCCCTGTCCACTCTAATGAGAACATTCTGTAAAACAGAAATGTTCCTCTGCACTTGAACCTCTCGTCCACACACAGACTGTTCTAAAGTTTCAAACTCTTCAAACTTTTTCCTCCATTTTTTTAGATCCTTATTATTCACGAGGTTTCAAACCTGGAAAACAAACGTGAAACTGTTCGAATGTGAGGCGATGAACAAAAACACAAATATGTTTGCAGAGATTTGACTTTTCAGCCGATTAAAACTTTATGCACGGCTTTAAAACTTAACGTCAATCATGCGAAAGCGTATTTTATTAAATGTAACACTTTCAAAACACTGAGTTTCAACCTCACAAAGCTTTTCTTTTTTCAGTTTGGGAATACGACGTGATATTTATCCTGCATTATTCAAATTTCTGTTGGTTTGATACTAATCATGAGAGAAAAGTGTTTGCAGGTTGATTCTGGTTAAAGTGAAAATGATTCATAAACAGATGTCAACATCCATCAGATCTGCAGAAATAATGTTTCGTACAAGTCTCTGATTCAAACGTCTCTCAGCCTCCGGGACTTTCTTCTCGCAGTCAGTTTTCTCCGCTGGTTTCTGTGTGTTCGGGTAATTCAGTCGAGCAGGTGGGTGGAGAGATAAGTCTTTTCACACTAATAAATCCCTTTGCAATGAAGCGAACTGAAGTGAATTCAATTTAGCGCAGAGTGAAATCACACAGGAAGCAGCCAGGTAATTGACCACCAATCACAACTCTCTGATAGCTCCAGTAAAATCCACGATTGGCCGGCGAGATGCCCGATCACGGAAGCGTAAACAAACGCGGTGTTGACTCTGGGCACTCTGAGTAATCGTGCAGAAGCCGAGACGACGACGATGAGAAACGCTTTGGTGACGCGCTCAGCTGAGACTGAGGAGCGAGGAAGAAATGAACGAGGAACTCCTCGTAGAGTTCGTCGGTGAGTCACCGGACAATAACCTGAGAGCGACGCGGGTTTGTAAACAGATCAAAGAGCCGTTGCTATGGCGACAGAACACAGGAGCCGTGTTTTAGAGGCTGTGATCAAACACACATTTAGACTAATGGGAGGTGACACTCAGAGGGTCACACAACTAATTACTACACACACACAAACACACACACTTTGGTCTTTGGTAAGATAATCTTGCTCACAAAACTTTGAGGCAGTTACCTACAACTTTTCCTCTTCTTCCTCCTCCACTTGCTCCTCCTTCTCTTCCTCCTCCCTCTTATTCCTCTTCCTCTTCTATCTTCTTCCTCCTTTTCCTCTTACTCTTCCCTCCTCCTTTGTCTTCTTCATCCTCCTCCTCTTCCTCTCTCTTCCCCTCTTTCTTCCTCCCCCCCTCCTCCTCCTCCTCCTCTCTCCTCTTCCTCTTCCCCCTCCAGTAAAGGATGTGCATGCTAAATAAGAAGCTGCTCATTATTGCTCCTCTCGTCTCTTTCCTCCTCGAGTTTTTCTGCTGCCGTCGCAGCTGAGCTGGACGGAGCCTCAGAGCATCGTTCAGATTCTGCTTCGTTTAGAAAACCACATTAACTGACTCCTGGTTCAGGTTCAGAGGGTTTGTTGTTCATTTATTTCATTGTCCATTAAAACATCTGTGGTTTTTATTTATTAATAATCAATCATTTTGTCCAAATATGACAAAGTCCGGCGTCTTTGTCCAAAACTCAAAGATTCTCATTAAAAGAATAAACAATGTTCGTCTGCTTCATTACTTTTCCATCATCAACGTGATGTTTCTTCCACTGATGAACCGATTGATCGTTGTAGCACTAATTATTCCAGAACTTTATAATGATGAGTCGATTTAATGTTTCATTGATCAACAGAAAAACATCTAAAATAATGAAACAAAAAGAAATGAAACTGAACTGAGAAGAGTTTAATGGTTATTTGTCGTTACGCTTCTGCTAATATTCAGTTTTTCCAAGAGAATTTACAATTAAAAATATTAATTTAATTCGTTTTTGAAGCAGGAAAAAATCTAGTTTGCAAAACATCTGATATTTTTTTCCACCCTGACGATATCTACATGTTGTGTTTTTCCTCCAGACATGATGGAGCGGTGGTGGGCGTGGCAGTTTGCCCTGGTCGTCCTGGCAACCATTAACCTCAGCACCTCCAATGGCAAGAACGCCGAGTTCCTCTCCGACACTCTGATCAACAACATAGTGGCCAACCCTGCCACGGGCAGGCTGTACGTCGGCGCCGTCAACGCCCTCTACCAGCTGAGCCCCGACCTGGTGGTGGAGTCGCGCACGGAGACGGGCCCCAAGCGTGACAACAGACAGTGCACGCCGCCCGTCACCGAAGCCTGCGAGGAGGCCGTGGACACCGACAACCACAACAAGCTGCTGCTGGTGCACGGCGCCGGAGACCTGCTGGTGGTGTGCGGCAGCGTCTTCAGAGGAATCTGCTCGCTGAGGAACCTGAGCAACGTGGAGCAGCTGATCTACTTCAGCGACAACAAAGGGGAGAAGTCGTATGTGGCGAGCGCCGAGGAGAGCGTCTCCGTGGTGGGAGTGATGTCATACTTCTCCAAGGAGAAAGACAACTTCACTGTGTTCCTGGTGAGGATGAAACACACACACACACACACACACACACACACACACACACACACGTCATCTTTGATTCTAAATAAACAAATATCTCCTCTGTGGCGTTGAGTGTTTGAGTTCCTCGTCTCCTCCTCAGGTCGGTAAAGGCTACGGCAGCCATGACAGCACCAAGCTCATCTCCACACGCATCCTCCAGGCCTTCGGCGATTGGGTGATTTTCGACAGCATCATCGAGGCCTCGGCGGTCCAGGCCAACCCTTTCGTCCTGCGCTACCTCCACGACTTCCGCTTCACCTTTAAAGACGGCGGCTTCGTGTACTTCCTGTTCTCGCGGACGCTCGGTGTGCAGGACACCAAGAACTTCACGTTCATCTCCAGGATGTGCGAGGACGACCACGGTTACTACTCGTACACGGAGCTGCAGCTGAACTGCAGCAGCACCGGCGACTACAAATACAACAAGTACAACAAAGCTCAGGTAACGTCGGACGCTGGATAGTCGTTTTTATTAAAAAGGCAGCAGTGAGTTGGAAAAACATATTTAGACATTTCACGTTCGGATGATTTTGTCTTAAATTGCAACCTTTCTGAGAACACTGACCCCAGAAAGGCTCAGAAATTGGATTTAACGTGCTCTTGAACTCAGAGTGGCTTCAATTTATGAGGTCCTCACTCTCACTGTGCCTCAGTTATATCACATATATATTTTTTTTTACTGAGAACTTCTAATATTCAGCGTCTCCTTCTCCTCGTCTCCCAGGCTGCCTACGTAGGGACGCCAGGAGAGGTGTTGGCTCAGAGTATGAACAGATCGGACCAGTACAGACCCGTGTTGGCCGACGACAAGGTTCTGTTTGTCACCTTCACGTCTGACGAGGACCCGTCTTCTTCGGCCATGTGTAGGTGTCAGCTTAATGAAAACAGATGTTTCTCACATCTGTCAGCAGAATTTCCAGACGCTTTTTTATTTTCCACCCGATCTTTCGATTCAGCACAAATCTTGAGTTTTGAAGCTTAATTCTTGACGATGGAAACAAGCTGAGAAAACAAGTTTCACCAAGTGGCTCCTCTGGAGCTTTTTGATCATTTCAAATGATCCTAATCAACAGACGCAGCCGCGATTCAAAGTGAATTCTTGATCCTGAACTCAAAGTGCTCAGCAAAAATGGAAATTTAAACATCTGCATTACCAAAGCGCTGGAGAGAACTCCCATGAGTGAAAGCTCCGGAACAACTGATGGAGTTAATGAAAGCGTGTGGTGACATTTGTTTCCTCGACTGAGCAGCCAATCAAAACACGGATTTTAAAAAAGAACCTAAAAGATGAAAACAGAGTCCATGTGGACGTTTTTCAACACTTGCTCCGTTCAAGTGTTTGTGTAGTTTTAGTTCTCTCTCTCATAACAACTTGTCTTTTAATATTAAGTC